GTATTTTTTCCATTTTTAGATTCGCAATGCTTGGTCAACAGATGAACCTGTCTTCCAAATACATATAAAGTGCTAATATTTTGTATGTGGTCAGTGCAAAATATTATTAATCCAGTCTTCAGCATATCAGATAAAGAAAAAGAATTTTCTAAAAAATATTTAGATAAAAAGCATTTCCGTTCATGGCAAATACATGTTTATATACAGTACACTGTATTATAGAAATTGTACTGTATATAATTTATTTAATCCATAACCAACAGCAAATCTTCATTAAAATTACTAAATATAAAAATATTGTATTGTAATCTAGCACTCCCCTCCCCCAACAGAAACATGATTATAGCATGCTGGAGGGGCTGTCCTGGAGTATCGAGAAGCCTGCACTTAATTGTAACTAACCCAAATATAATAGTTCATGAAAGATGGTGTATGCTTTCTAATTACTGAATAGTTCAAAGAATAGTACTGTATATAAATAAAAAAAAAAAGGCTTACTGTATAACTATATACAACCTTGATTTCATTTGCCACATTTTAAAAATCAAGCATAATACTGTGTATATTATTGTATACAAGTCTGTATAACATTTTCAATATGAATAAAAAAAACACACACCTCAAAACTTATATTCACTTAGAACTCTTTTTAACTTTATCCAAATTTATTTTTCAACACTGTACAATCTGAAGTGTGTAAATATTGCTCATTTCCTTTAGAATACAACTTAACTTATTTCAAGTACAAATTTGCACAATTTTCACAGCAAAAAAACATTGCACTTGTCAACAAGCACTATTCTCTCTGGAAAGTTTTAATGCACATTGTGTGGGGCTGTGAAGACATAAGATCTTACTAAACAACAATATTTCATGATGCTTTATTCAGCAAGTTTTGCATAGTCTCTAGAGGTTAATTAGCATTAAAAAAAAAAAGAAAAGTAAAATGTTAATGACTATGATGTTTACAATGCCATGCCTACAACTCTCCCTCCACCCTACACACACACACACACACACACACATTCCCAGGACCGAACAATGAGAAAAATTGCATTCAAGTTCATGATGAAAGAGCTGCCAAGAAGTACATGCATACTTAGTACATACGTGCTCTTCTTGGCAGCTTGCCCCATGAATCTGAACGAATCCGCCAAATTGTTGTGAACAACAATTACAGCAATTACTGAGGATAATCAGGCCCCAGGGGTGGAAAATCAGCCCCCAAGAGAAGACATTGTAGTGTATTATAAAAATACATTCACTCAGGCATACAGGAAGGATGAGGTGATGCAAGACATAATTGATAGGAATTGCAAACCTTGCCGTGAAAACCGATGGAATCGTCCTGTCGATTATTATAACAACCCTCATATATCTTCCCTCATTATGAGAAATAACATCTCTGCCTCCAAACTGAGGACAGAGGTGTACTAATGTAGTTTGTCAATACAAATGCAGCTCTGGAGAATGTGCACTCCAAAATAAATGCTACATTGGACATACTGTACCACAAATACATCGAGTAGACATCTTGCATTTCATTTGCAAGACGGAGGTATTAAGCATATATAAATAATGTTTACACACACACACACACACTCACTTTCATCCCCCACCTGTAGTCACTGATAGGTAAGGACACTCACACAGGTTGCAGAATCAAACTGCACTTATAACTTTAAAAGTAGATACAAGAAAATAGGTAAGGGGTTAAAGCTTCCAGAATAGTCACTTGCATTAGAGAACTGGCAGATAGAAAAGTGGAGTCCATGAGCTAATGCTCTTTCTTGCAGGCACAAATAAGCGAGTACATTTTTACACTAATTCTTGCACTAACTCAATCACACTCTTTGTGTATGTAAACCACATAAATCAGAATGTATTTAAACATATGATAACTGGCTAAGAAAATTAATTCAAGTAAATATTTCCGTTATGGTTATCCATCATCAGTGTGTGTGTGCTTGTGTTTGATTTTAGTGTGTTTATTTTGTGTATGTGCACTCACCTAATTCCCAAATGCAGTTACAGGATAAGAACTACATTCGTGGTGTCCTGTCTTTCTAATAATCTTTGTCATACGACTATTTAAAACTGATGACAGTTTGAACATCCCATCATCAACTCGCTTAAATTGTTTCAATTACCCACAGTTGGTTCGCAAAAAAGTGAACTTTTGGCACCAACACTTTCTAGGCTTGAGTCTGCACCTCCTTTGAATGTCATCAATACTTTCTCTAATACTTCCCCAGCCATGCACTTAAAAGCAATTTTGAAGCTTACAAGTGTAGCATAGGCTCCTCTTACAGTGATACTGTACTCTGGCAACTATTGTATCCAGAACTACCCCTATCATTCGTTTTCTTAATTTTACCATTTTGAGTAACTAGAAAGGTCGCTTGTGGCCCATTTTCTCTTATTCCATTACATGGCATTATCAACATTAAATTCCATCTGCCATGTGTTACTTTAAATGTTTATTTTGCCTAGGGCACTATGAAGAGTATGACAAGTCATCAGGCTCTCTCAGTCTCCCACATAAGCTTGGTGTTCTGTGTAAACATTCATGTAGCTCTGAATCCTTTTTACCATGTAAAGTACAGTACAGTACTGTATATCATTCATATAGCCAACTCAACTGGTTCTAGTACTAAACCTTGTGACTAGTGACAATTCTAGTCCAAATATAACACTAAATGGGCACAATTTCCAAGAGTGCCATTCATTCAATGTCAGTATTCCTCTTGGACATTGTATCCACTGGGTGCATTTTCTTTTAATTGCTGCTCTCATGTTAACTGCACTTTTTTCTATTTTTGTCATTAGTTTACCTGTCACCTCTCCTTTATGCTTTAGCTTCCAGAATAGTCACTTTAAGTAACTATTTAAAGCCCTTTTTTTTTCTAAATATATGCAGTCAACACAACCACTCTCTCAAGCAAGATCTCTCTGGCTCTATCACAAAAGTGCAGTAAATGTTACACAGAACCTTCCTATTCAAAAGCCATATTGTTTGCCCGATACACAATTTCTTAAGTGTTATACTAGCCCGATTTTAATTATTTTTCTTGTGATTTAACTAACTCACTTGTCACAGCAGCATGTTCAATTCAGTATCTTATGTGTTGCTGTTTTCATAGATTAGCATTATGCTTCCCTCTTTCCACATGCCTATTAAGTTTTCCGTTTGCAAAGATGTTTATAAAATAATAGGTAGTTGGTGGCTAAGCTCTGTTGTAAATTCCTCTGACCAGTTTTGTTTTTGCCAATATCCATTAGGAATTTGTATACAGAACCTCCTCTTTACACACTTCATGAATTCAAGTTTGCTGCGTGTGGTTCTCCAAACGCCTTGTTTTTCCCTGAACACACTTTGAAACTGTTCATTTCGTGTTTTACATACTTCTTTTAGTATATTATTCTTTGAATGTTATCTTTTACTTGCCATTTAATTTTCATGAATTTATAACAGGCTGGGTTCTGTTTTACATTTGTCCAGTGCACCTTTCTAAAAAATTCTTTCTGCCTCTTCTTTGTGTTCATTTGTATTTCTGGAATGTTTGAGGGTTTAGCCCTCCTCCTATATTGATTATATTTACAGTATTGTCATTTGTTCCCTGGCCCTCTTGCAATTTGTTAAACCAATCCTGTTTTCTAGATTTGTGCCTTTGTTTTGGTACTGTATATAGTACACTAGTACTGTAAATTTTTTGGTGCTCATACACGTCTCATTTACTACCATGCCTAACAACAAAAATTCAATACTATGTTTGGTGTGTGTTGTGTAAGTAGTGTGTGTGGTGTTGTGCACACATGTTTTGTGTGTGAGAGTTTTGTGCGTGTAGGTTGTGTGTGGGGGTTTTGTGAGCATGTGGGCGTATGGTACATGCATGCACACACGTGTGCATGTAGCATGTGTGAATGAGCTTTTGTGCAACTGTACACAATCTACATATACTGTACAACAAAATCTTTGTGATAAAAACTTTACAAAAAGAGATTTTATGATTAAAAGTTGCATACACAAAATATTGGTCTAGTAAGATTATATCTATGAAACACTTAGTGGAACCTAAGTGTAGGTCAACCAGCACTAAGCACGTAAGATATGATTTTCTTGTGTACCACACATCAGTCTGGACATTCTCATTACCTTGCTGCTTGCTCAAACGTGTCCTGCTCCATTATTTATCAAAAATTTCCTGTCATCTGATATTTTGGAAAATATACCAACTTCACAAATTACCAATGTAGCACTGTGGATTTTTTATTTTCTATTAAAACTGCAAAGGAATGGATCGAGAGGTCACCTTATAACCAGCACTCACTTTTTTCCCAAGCTCCTCCTGTAGATATCTGTATGTTGACAGCTACGTAAATTCAGTTTTGGCATTAACAGTGGGTTATTACAGACCACGTTTGTTGCTTATATAAAACAAAATAGCTAAATTATATAACTTAAGTCCACATGGTTTTCCAATGACAATTTAATTGTGTTACTTACTGTAAGAACTGAATCTTTGATAAATACTGTATACTGAAGACTGTTCCCCACTGCTTGGAAAGCGAGCCAGATAGTAATCCACAGTGCTTTTTGAGAAATAACGTAAAAGAGTTGAGTGAACTATGAACACAAAAAGAACTGTGGATATGTTGGATACAGGCCTCTGGCCTATCAGGTGCTGTGCTATTTGTGAACATAACCATAGAGTCACTACAATATTTATATACAGTATAAATTAAGATGTATGAAGCATTGTACAAGCATGACTGATTATTTCTTTGGTATCTAAGTAGCCTACCTGACAATTCCAAAGACATATCCAACATACCTAAAGTTCTTGGATGAGGTAATGGTTTGTAATTAAAACAATTATCAAGATGAAATCAAAATGCACAGCTGATTTTCCAACATAGCCCACTTTTCAAAACTGTTTGGAACAAAGACCACCAAAGCTCTTTTATCATTATCAAAAGAAGGGTGGCTGAAATAAATATTGGAGATTCTTATTTTATTTGTTCTATAACCATACAAATATGGAAGTATCTGCTTGAGTGTATGACTTTAACAAAACTCCTAACAGCTATGAGCATTTATATTAACAGTATGGTAGGTAAAATACTCCCGATATGAATGCAAGCTCAAATATTAAATTACATCTAAAAGAATTGCATCACAACTGTAAAGTGTCACGTCACTGAAAAAACACTGATTTTGTATATTCACCATTGTACCACTACCACTACTCACTGCACTGGCAAACACATCACTCAATTCACTGTTTTCCTGCACTATCACTATAACTGCACTGTCTTCCTGCACTAACACCATTCACTGCACTTTAAACTCACCACACTGTCTCACTTCACTAGTATTTAATCCCACATATCACACTGCACACTCACTATTACACCACTGAATAAATTGACACTATATAATTGTATAATCCTAGTGTTTTGTTTCACTGCCTTGGAGGTGTGACAACACTGCACTTTTCACAAACCTTATAATAATAAAGAACTGTACAATACTTTTCAGTAATCAATAATTTTCCTCTGGAAATTTAGTTATTTATCAATTGGAAGAGCTTTAAAAAACACTTCACTTTAACAAACGCTTAAAACATCTTTGATCATTGTGGTGAATATCTTTCGCATTAAAACTGCACCTCCAAATTAGTAAGGTATATGAAAGAAGCACTGATACAAATTAATGTTTCAAATTCTCCACTGCACTTCACTTTCTGCTGAAAGAATCACTTGGAAGATGAATTCACCCATAACTGAAATGTTTAATTTCAGTTAAAGCCAACTTCCATATGATTTTCCAGTTTGTACTTTGATTTGATTTATTTTTGACTAGGCTAACTCAAGGAAATTTTCTTTTCCCATATTAAGAGCCAATTTTCTGCACTTCCCTAAAACACAAAGAAGTTATAAAAATCCCTTTAACTTACCTTCAGAATTCTCCCACAAGTAAACAATTTGCAATTAGCCCCAGCACAATTAAGAATTTCACTTCCACCCCCCCACCCCCAGCACTGATCACAATTGCACTTGCTATCTTTGATATTCCATAAAATTTGCCCAAGTCCCCGATCACTGATTCGCATTACTGTTTCATCTGAATCCTTAAACCCATTACTGTATAATTTATTTGAATGCCCTTAAACCTAATTCACTGCTGCACAAATTCTGCAAAAATTCACTTTACCCACTAACTTCTTTTCCAGATCAATCACCCAAGTGTATTCACTGTAAGTCACCAAAACACAACGCACTGCGGCACTCCACACTATTCTAAATTTAACCGATACGATTTTAAAATAGAAGCCCATATCCACAAGGCAGATATTATTGTGAATGGTTCTTTCAATGCACTGTCCAAAGTCGTCTAATCACAAACACTATAGTATCTGAAACACTGTATCACTGAATTTATGTACTGTACTGTATATAGAAACTTTATTCCAGCAAGTCGGTTTCGTACCTGTAAAACAGTGAGAAAGCTGCTATTAACGACACCTTCGAAGGCCCCATATCTGTTACTGAAATGCAGAGCTCATTATTAAAGGGGGAAAAGTGGGAATCCTTGATATAGCTGTACCAATGCTCTGTATATTGTTGAAATCTGATCAGTGTAAAAAAAATCCTTATAATACACAACCCTTTAAAAGAAGTCCAGCAATCTGTACCAATATTGAAATAGTACAGTACTGTATTTGGATTTGCAATACCTTCATATCTGAATCACATGAACAACAAAGTCTTTTGTTAAACTTTTCAACAAATGTACTTTTCACCATGTCTTTGAATCATAATTGGGTACATGGGACCCTGAAATATTTAGATTTACTATAAAAGAATAACTTTGCACTACTCAGACATTTATGATTACGTTATTCTGTGTTCATATAGCATGGTGCCCCATAGGCTTGTATCCAAATTGTGCCGTATCCTGGGGTTGTATACAATGTATGCTTGATCCTCAGGCATCCTTTTTAAGTCAAGGGTTATTAATCAAAATGGTTCAGGCAACTGAAACATGGGTGCACATCATTGGACTTCTTACAAAGTGCTGCACAAATTACTGGGATTCCCTACTCACATCAGATAGCAGCAATGAGCAGAACACACATTCCTTGATTATTCTTGGCCCAATTAATAATCCTTCATATTTACTGAAATTTTTAAACATATATTTAATTCACTGAATGTGAATAAATGCCATAAATATCAGAAAATATGAAGGTCTGTTAATAATGGCTGGTTCAAAAAATAAGCCAATAATCAAAGAAAAAGATTTTAAATCTCGGAAATATTCAAAAAGAGAAAAAAAAATGATTAAGGGATGGCTTGAAGTTACTCTACTCGAATTTAGAAAAAAAATAAATGTACGATAGGCTATCTGATGCACTTTTGAAAAACGTAAACAAATCCCCAAATCTAAAACTACAATTGTACCTGCCCACCCATTATTTATTAGCACTGAAGCACTTTAAAATCACTATTTGTTTTCACACCACTGCACTTTTTAAACCACTTCACTATTATTAGCATTGATGCTTCTTTCATAACACTCACAAAACTCACTATTAAGAAAATTAAAACACTATGGAATAGGAAATCGCTTGCTAAAAGCACACTGGACTGAATTAAAGTATTTCACTTGATATGACACTTTTTAAAGCACTGTTATCAAGAGCACTTAACTAACTGCAAATAAAGCATACTGGTTATCCATTACCACCACCACAAGCACATACTTTAATTCACTTCACTAATAAAACACTTCACAAAACTGAAAGCAGAAAATTTTTAGCTTATCCATGACAATCTTTACTTTCATCACTATCACTAATATTCACCGCTGTAAAAACAGGTTCACATGCACAATCAAACACCGATAAGTTTTCACAGTATTTTAAAAAGAAATTAGCACTACACTGAAGATAGTACACAAGCAACAAATTCTGTCACTTAAAATTTGCAATTAACAATTTTCTTGTCGAGAAGCATTAGATTACATAACAAAATTTTTCTTAAAACTCAAAAGTTTAGCTAACACACATGAATTCTCGTCAAGATGGAATACAGTAAACACCATGATTTTCAGTGATTATGGAACAAAATCTTCCATATGAATGTGATCTACTGAACATAATTCACTATAAGGCAGTATTTGTTCAAGCAAAAAATTTAATTTGAGTAATTTTAACTTGTCACTTAGCACGATTTACACTAGGAATTAACAACAATAATGACGTCACCATAACAATCTATACTGTAAAGGTAGGGTGTTGTTTAAGCTGCTGTTCCACGCACAATCACGATAACCAAATGGTCGTCTCTTGTGGTCTCCTCCGTAAGGCCTGGAGAGACACGATGTAGAAGCTCTAATGAAAAAGTACATGGAGGAAAGGCATATAAGACACCTTGCATGCTTCCTTCCTTGCTGCTAGCATTTAAAGTAATCACACCAGCAGCTTCCTTTTGCTTAAGATAGGCCACCAAGTTACGTAAAGGTCGTGTTTGCACAGCAGCTTCTTCAGGAGCTTGTGGCGCAGTTGTACTGGGTAAAGACAGTAGTATAGTGGCAGTAGATGGTGCACTAATCCGTCGACTGACATCGTCAAGACGTGACTGGTCGAGACGAAGGCGTTGGGTGATGCGTAAGAGTGGGCGACCTTCTTCATCTTGCATCATTTCGGCTACTTCATTGTCACCTTCAATGAGATGCATTTTTGTACCAAATGACGAGTTCTTAAGAATAAGTGCTCCTTGCCAAGAAGTTTGTGTCTTACGAGCAACATCCGCTAAGGTACGAGCACTGCCAAGACCATTGGTCTCACCACCCTCTCCAGGCTCAGGACTTCTATTGGGATGATCACCACCTTCAGATGCACCATCATAATCCCTGTAATCTCCTCGTTGGTAATCAGCATGATATCCACCACGATGTCCACCACGGCCACGGTCATGCCAGCCACGCCCACGTCCGCGGCCTCGTCCATATGTGGCACTATAGTCACTTCCGTATTCTTCATATCCACTGCCACGACCACCTGCAGTAGCAGCCCAGTCTTCACGGTACTCACCCTCATACTCTTTCTTGAATCCAGGGGGAAAGGTCCCTGGGGGTGGATTTACTTCAGCAAAATCTGTTCGGAGCCTCTTGTCAGGTCCACCTAATGGCGAACCACGCATTTCCTTCACAGCTGCCTGGGCAGCATCAAGGCTTTCATATAATATATATGCATGATTTTCACCCTTCACATATTCAATCTTTTTAATAGCACCAAATCTATCAAATTCCTGTGTCAACTGAGTCACTGATGTCCAAGGTCCTAGTCCACCAACCCATACCCTTGTTGTTGGCATCACTTTACCATAACCAATTTTGCACTGAAATTTGCCAATGTACTGCCCAGAAAGTTCTATTTTTGCACGATGAGCCATGTCCAAATTTTGAAACCTTACAAAGGCATATGCATTACCCGTACCAGGAGGAGGTCGCTTAATATCTATATCGTCAACAACACCATACCGTCCAAAAATACGCCGTAGTTCTTCTTCACTTATGTTTATCTCAAGATTTCCAGCAAACAAAGTACGAGTTGCCAAGGGGTCCTCCTCTGGGGGTACGTGGTGCAGGTAATTTGGGAATTTGTCTCTCTTACTGTCAATCATACCACCACCGCCGCCACCACCTCCACCACCACCCGCGCCACCACCCCCACCGCCGCCTCCACCACCGCCCCCACCACGGTTGCCAAAGTTATGCTTGAACCCACCACGCATCAGAGGGCCGTAATGTCCATGAGGTCCCCCTCGACCTCTGTGTTGCCGATAGCCATAATCATCTTGTCTCATTGGTGGACCCTCGCCATAATAGTCTGCATGAGGCAGCGGGGGCGGTCTGCGGCGATCAAACCTGGGTTCATAGCGCTCCTCCAGGTCTGGCCCGGGGGGACTTCTGGGCCTGTAGCCTCGGTCATAGTCTGGAGGACTGCGAGATCGACCCCTGGGGGGCCCGTAGTCCCTCACCGCCTCGTACATAGGCTCCACAACAACAGGTCTGTCATAGAAGAGTATCCTGGGCTTGCTGTGCTTGGCTTCCCTGGCCTCCTCGCTGCTTCGGAAGTAAACATAAGCCAGCCGCTCGTCAGCACCCAGCGACACCTTAACACTCACGTCTCCAAACCTCTTAAACTCGCGATAAAGAGCTTCTCTCACCATTTCATCACTGGCCTTCGCGTGGAGGTTGGAGACACACAGTACCTTGTAGGTGGGCGCCAGGGGCCCGCGAGGCCCCCGGCCAAATTCATCCCGGTCTGAGCGATGGAGGGGCTCAGGGGGTGGATAGCGGCGTCCAGGACTCCCGCCGCGGCTGCTACGGCGCCCCTCGTCCTCACTGCTGTCCTCATACCTTCCAAGACTCGATCTAGATCTCTTACTCGACGGGGACATGTCTCTGTCCGTCCCTCGTTTCATGATGAAGCTGCCAGAGACCAAAGTTAACGAGACGCACGCCACCAGACGCACCAGCTCCTCAACCTCAGCCACGCTCCGCCTCCGCCAGCACACCCAAATATAATGACTTATTTTAGTACGCTCGCTTTTCTTCCAATCCTTATCATAATTATATATAAAACCGACCAATCAATATCTGGGATATTATAATTATTAACCTGATTAACACTTTCATGGCTAAATCATCGATTGTTTATGGAACTAGTTTTTTTTATGGCGGATGGAGCAGCCTTATTGGTGAGGGATCACTCAGATAATTATATATGAGGCGTGACAGTATTCATCTGTCTGCTCTATGGTAGCAACAAGTCCAACCCAAAACTTTTTACAAACACATTTCTCACCTCGTGAGATTTTACTATGGCCTAAAAATTCTATAAATTCTCGGAAATTATTGAAATCCCTAGATGTGTCTGTATTACGGTAATTTGATTGCTATTAGATAATAGTCCACCTGAAATCAGTATAGCACTGTTTAACAAGAAGTTACTTACAAATTATGTAGTATAGTGAAGAAAATCATGATGCTTCAGTTGAACTTTTAAATACGTTGTTCTACTCACGAAATTGATAGGTTTGGGTCAACAATGTTTTCCTGGGGGTCCACCGGCATAAAGGAACTCATGCTGGGGATACTTTTTTATATGTTAATTCATTCTGACAGGAAGCCAGAGTGTATTCATACACTTTTTTTTTTTTTTTATCGAGTATCCCCCACCCAGGCCGAATTACTGACCCCACCCAGTAAGCAACCCCACAACAAGCTCACTAACTCCTAAGTACCTACTCACTGCTAGGTGAACAGAGGCATTAGGTGAAACGAAAGGTTCCCAACCATTTCTGCAACCCATCCTCATACCAAGTCCATTCCATCCAGCAATCGACCTCAAAGACGCATTCATCAATTTTAACATGCTGTTCATTCAACATAAGAATTTTCATAAATATAGAAAAAAATTACTATATAATAGCATATTGTGCATATTAAGGCATTGGTGAGGTTAGATGTTTAGGTTCTGTTGCCGATTATTTGTATTGTAGTACGTGGGTGAAGCATTTATTGTGTTGTGGTTCGAACAAAAGTCGTCAGCGAAGAACGTGTTCGGACGTCATCAGTTGTGAGTCGTGTGTCCTGGCGCATCCGATCCCATGATCGTCGTCGCCCCTAAATCAACACAACAACAACTGTTTTTCATTCATAAACAGGGGGCTTGGTGGGTGCTAAGAATGGACTTTGGGGTCTTTGCTGCGAGAATGGCCCGCCCGGGACTCAAGCCAGGAATTCTCGATTGTGCGTCGAGAACGAACCCGACTGTACTACGAGGAGCCTCCAACCTCTTAACAGGGAGACATTTCCATATATATAAGTAATTTATACAACTTATATGTATAGTTTATATTCATTAATGTTATAAATTAGGTAAGATTTAATTTATTTAAATACAGTATAACTAAAAAATCAAAATATGTATAGTTTATATTCCTTAATGTTATAAATTAGGTAAGATTTAATTTATTTAAATACAGTATAACTAAAAAATCCAAATATGTATTTTTGTTAATGAATGATATCCGGTCTTTAAAATGCTTTTCAGTACAACAGCAGCTGCAAGAGATTACACTTAAGACAATAATACACACCAGTTACTATGCCAGTCAATTTTTATTTTGAGTAAATTCCATATATAAGAAGATCCCACAAGTCAGAAATGCTATATGCTTATTAGTTGCTTTGCAAGAATATGCAATTTAATAAAAAAAACTGTACGTACATAATGCGTTGTACATTCTTATAAAATATGTACAACTTGAAATCACTTATAAATAAGGCAGCAAAAGCTCTTAGGTGCCAAACGTATTTTGAAATTTTAATGAATATTTGTTTATCCAAATGTTCAAATCATGTGTGTGCGCCTACCCACACTACTGTCGCCCACAAGACCATATTAAAAGTCCTGTAAATAAAGCAATACAAGGTTGAAAATATCATCCATATAGGGGAAAGGGGGCGGGGGTAGAAATAGCCTAAGCTACTCTATCCCTTTGAGATGTATTTTCTTGTATCAATAAACATTTTTGAACTTGAAATTGAATATCATCCAAGAATAAAGTCCCCCTCACACTAGGGCACGCTGAAGACTAAAGGCTCCTCCTCAGCCCTCATTGACAAGAAATGATTTGCAGGTCAAATAAGTTTATTGAGATGATCAAATACATCCTACTGATTTGTAGTTATTTCCAAGGAAATGATAAAAAAACTGCAGGGATAGCATCATCCTACTTCAGTTTATCATGAACGAACATTCAAGGGATTGGGGGGGGGTTATAATATCGGCTTTTGTCTTAAACTATTTAAGATTAATACCGTTTTAACCGTAATTAATAGGGTTCTCAATATTTACTCTGGATGCGAGTTATTTGACATGCGATTACCATCTTGTAAGAGGTTTTCAATTTAACACTTTTCCAAATAATGTTTTTTTCTTACAGAATAAGAAAATTTAAATGCTTACACATTGTTAAAATTCCCGAGTCCTTAAAGATAATGGGGGAGACCTTAGACAAGCTGCCGGCTTCCTGTCATTGTCGAGGCCACTATAGATAGTGGCTGGCCTCAGGTGAGTTCAAGTAAATATACGGTGAAGACTTTAGTAACATTCTGGGGCATATTCTTGTCCACAGACGAATTTTCAATTCTTGTTTACCAATAACATTATTGAAATCTATTAATAACATCGAGATCCTTTACCCCTTGAATCTCAGATCTGGCGTAGTCTATCTATTTAAGTGTTAGAGGTGTAATGTTCAGGATGTAGGAAGTATCTCGTGAAATCTTACGTTCCATATCTGTAAACATATGGGTATGTCTTACCGTCCGGGGTTGCTTCCCCTCCTAGGGCAACAGTTGCGCCCTCTGCAACGCGAGCAGTCTGCCCTTTAGCACTCTACTAAACTTTCAGTTGTTTTAGAACCGATCTCAACATCTTGGAATGTGTTCGAATTACTGGAATGAGACCGAGAACTTAGAATCCTCGACTTCATTATTTATCCAGTAATTTCGTCCTCTGCAAGTAGGTCGTTAAGTAGTTTTTACTTTTTTTGTTAATTAATAACGATTTTTATAAATCTCTGAACTATTTATTGATAATTTTAGTTAACTGTTTTAATAAGTAATTTTGTTATTTTTTTTAGTGCAGATGTAAAGTATTAAGAGCGGCACCATGTTGAGCAGCCAGTAGTGAAGGTAGAGACGGGTGTCGACCAGCAACCACCACCATAATATGCCAACACAAACTACATAGTTCACATTATTTGTCCAATTTTATTATCGCTTCGTAACTCAGTTTGGTGGCTGTTCTGCACAATATTCTGTAGAGTTATACCTGCAGGAACTAAAGCCACGTTGTGTCTGTGGTGACAATAAATGACAATCGTGAAAGCAGACAGTTCCGTTCCTCCCACGAGTCATAAAAGCAGACAGTTCCGTTCCTCCCACGAGTCATAAAAGCAGACAGCCACGTTCCTTTAAACAGCTTCTTCAAGCAGAAGTATAGCATCTTCCTCCTTCCAACCACTAAGAGATTATTTCCCAAGCTTCATCTACTAAAAGCCTACTTTAGAACAAGAGGAATAGGCTTTATGGCCCTCATACCCATCCATCAGGAAGTGGAGGAACAACAAGAACAGGTTAAATAAGCTCTTTGTTACAAAGAAACTCCGTCTGATTCACAGTAACAACTACAGGTTTATACTTTGTTCATGTGGATGCATTTTTACGCATTTGAGGTGTCACGTGATAGGCTGGACAATGATCCTGAAAGCTGTTGTACATTATTGCACAATACTGTCCGAACACTGCATATTGTACAGTGTATTGGAACTGTACAGTGTCATTATACTCTGCACGAAACACTGCGTATAAGTGGCTTTGCAAGGATGTAAACAACAATCTTATGTAATCTGACATACCCATTGTATCTTCTTGTAAGTAAATATTATTATTATTTGTTTCAAAATTGTTTATGAATTTGGCTGAATTTACAACAAAAATATAGATTTACTCATTATTTAAACTTTGTAATATTTAAACTATATATTTGGTAATATATCACATCTGAACAAGGAGCAGTTCAGTACATCCTAACCAGACGTTATATGATGATATCCTCAACAGCAGATAAAATAAGTAATTGCAGAACTCCAGTTACCTAATACCAGTACGGTATGAAACCTTATCATAAGGTACGGGATTTGTAAATCCGTGTTTAAAAGGGAATTCAGAAGTAATAATAATACAGCTGATGCCATCTGTCGGCAGAAAAGAACACTATCAACAGGTAATCAACGGTAGCCATAAGATACAGCTTATACCATCTGTTGACATCAAATTACACTATTAACACGCCACCCTGCAAAATACACCTGGCTCCATCTGTTATCTCGACATTGCACTATCGATAGCCAAACAGCAGCCCATAAGGCGGGTTGTTGTGCTGAAGTAAGAATTCCTGCGCCTGCATATCATTGGTAGAAATTCTTCGTTGACATTCACCAAAACAGCCAATCACAGGAAGGGATCATCTAAAGGTTCCACTCACTTAATAAATAATCTTTCTTCAGCATACCAGCGCTGCTTATGGCATTCTGCTTCAACTTTAATCTATCCAAAATGTGAAGTTTTAATTATTTAAAAGTGGTCATAGTTATAATTAAATATTGCAGGATATAAGTGTTAAAGAATGGCCTGGCTACCTTTTTTTGATTTTTTTTTGTTTTTTTGAGATATATACAAGAGTTGTTACATTCTTGTACAGCCACTAGTACGCGTAGCGTTTCGGGCAAGTCCTTAATCCTATGGTCCCTGGAATACGATCCCCTGCCGCGAAGAATCGTTTTTTCATCCAAGTACACATTTTACTGTTGCGTTAAACAGAGGCTACAGTTAAGGAATTGCGCCCAGTAAATCCTCCCCGGCCAGGATACGAACCCATGACATAGCGCTCGCGGAACGCCAGGCGAGTGTCTTACCACTACACCACGGAGACTGCTAACTTGTGATGTCATCAATGGGGGTTGCTTCTCACAAATAACCTCTGTGATACAATGCTCCGCCCTCTTATTGGACTACATTATTCGGTTACATGGAACAAAACAAAAAGTTTGTTGTGCAAAAGGACGCATTTCTTAGTTTACATTTCATTCATAGAGTGGTTGCATTCCATGCAACAGAAAATCGCAGGAAAATATTTGCTAAAAGCTCCGCCATCTTACTGATGTCATCTGGGGCATTCAGCACACCGTCTAGCTCATGGCTTTCTGTTTCATCTCCTGAATATACAAAATATGATTTTTTCGATTACTATGATAATTAAAAGTATGAGATATAAAAGCTATTAAACAAAATGGCTAAAATCTGCCATTAAAAAAAGGGAGCTCATAGTGGATCTTGTAATTAGAGTTTTAGGGGAGCGGTGTTATACAATTTTTCTAAATATCTTCTGATATGGGCGTTGACTTCTCTATTCGTGTACCCGTTGTTTATTAATACTTGTACACTTCTATCCCGTTCCTCGTGTATGCATATATATAGACAATTCGTCTTCAACATATTTGTATCAAGTGACAAGGACTTCACAGATCAAGGAACACTAATATGAATACCATTCTCCTTTAAACAATATAATTTTATTTACATACATCCGGTAACATAATACTTAACTGTAAGCATCACAATAATATATATATCCTTCAGATAACCATATAATGTGCAAATATATATAATTTTAACATATGAATAAGTATACACAAATATACTTTCAGCATGAAGCCCTAAACAATGTTGAGAGACAAAGAATTCTTTAGTCGCCACGAAGTGGAGATTTCAAGTTCAAGTATGTTTATTGAGACAAGAAAGAAATACATCTCAAAGGGATACAGAGTAGTGTCAGTCACTTGGGGTCGCTCACGGGGATATGTATATTTTGGCAAATGGCAGGATAACCGATCAGTTATCCAAAGCAGTAAGAAAATTAAATATTTTCTTAAGACAGCCTTCCATCAAGCAAGAACTGTCGAGAGGAACTCACAGAAGAGATGCCAGAGCCACCAAACGTTTAAAATATGGTACAGAAGAGAGCAATTCAACTGATACAGAAGAGTTAGCGGAGACATGACTACCACGTGCGCAATTTTCAAGGGAATTAATAGGACAGACAAGGACAGATAATTTAGTATTTGAACAAGAGGATACAAGTGAAAACAGAGTGGCCAAATGAGCCGCAGAGAGGAGGGAACTATCAGGAGCAGCGCCAAGCCATTATGACTATATAGCACTTGGAAGGGATTAGGATAAGGCTTTGGGATGGGACGGGGGAAAGGAATGGTGCCCAACCACATGTACGGTCGGGGATTGAACGCCGGCCTGCATGAAACGAGACCGTCGCTCTACCGTCCAGCCCAAGTGGTTAAGCAATGAGCTGTAGAAATATTACAAATTTAAATTTCTGAATGTTGGAGTAGTGAACAAAAGTAATGCATTCAGAAGTACGGTGACAGAGGCAGACTCCATACACAGTTTTAAATGTGATAAAGCCCAATAACCTAAAAAAACATATACACCAGTTGACTGAAAATTGAGTGGTTTGACAAAAGAGCCGAAATTCAACCTCCGCAAACAGAATTCGGTAAGTATAAAGCTAGACGAGTACCAGTGCAGAAGGCAGATGAATCGCTCAGAGGACGAATAAAAAGCCCTAAAATATTCTCAAGAATGAGAATAACCAAATCGATATTGATCAGTGATTTTTTGTTACATCAAAAATCATGATTTATATAATTGTTAAATTCGTATAAGAATGTGCGGGGTCACCACTGCATCGACCGTGATAGTGAAGATGTCACTCTCATCGCCGACAATGATTCGAGTGAAGGTGAGAGAAAATGACTGGTAAGACAGACACATCTGTGAGTACGATGTCAGAGGACTGGGTACGGTTTCATGAGATTGAATACGACGTCAGAGATTTGGGTATGATGGCAGAGGATTGGATACGATATCTGGGGACTGGATACGATGTTAAAGTGTTCAGTGATTCAGAGTATCTCAGAAACAACAGACGTTTAGGATGCGACAAGGCACATGTCGTGCCTTGAACGATTCATGGGAATATTAGTCCAAGAACCTCCTCCATCTTGGCTTTCGATTCTTAAATATGAGGTCAATATTCCAAAGCCAGGGGCCAACATTTCGACGTCACTAATCACGGACATTTTCAGAATAACACTGTTTAGTATATCCCACTCTGGCAAAGTGTCAGTCACCCTTCATTCCATTTTATAATCAGTAATTCAGTTCGTCAGTTCTACCATGACCGGATAGGCATTGAGGCTCAGCCCGGCAGGTATAGAAACGTCTGAAGAATTCCCTGTCTCAACATAGAAGCAAAAGCTACTTTTTAGTTTCCTTCAAGCTCCTTATACAACTGAGATATTGGCAAATAATTGTTTATATGCATCATCTCTATGGCATGTGGTGGGCCGGTCATCTGGACCGCCTGTCTCCGCAGTGCTCCATGTTTATTATTATTATTATGTTATCTGTTACACACAGATGTAACCATCTTCTCTGACCAAAGAGCCGAAGCTCAACCCCCGCAAGCAGAACTAGGTGAGCACACGCAGTAGCAGGAGACTCTTGCTATTTTCCTCAAATAGAACAATTTCCGTCTTTTCCTCTCTGTGTGTGTGAGGTTGATAACTTGAAAGACAATCAAGAACCTTCTAGACTCGCTGGGGTCAGCCACCATATAGGAGGACATCACTATATGGTGGCTGACCTCACATCAATATAGAATTTGAAGCTGTAGTTGACTCCCGTGTTCAGTGACTGGATAAAACAGAGGCGGGTCCCACAGCGCACCACTGGGAAACCAACTACCACTGGCCATGCAGGCCCGGATTCGCTCTTAAGCTGATATTCCACATTGACATTATATATTTGGAATCAACAGTGTGTGTGTGTGTGTGTGTGTGTGTGTGTGTGTGTGTGTGTGTGTGTGTGTGTGTGTGTGTGTGTGTGTGTGTGTGTGTGTGTGTGTTTTATGTGATATTTGGTTAAATTCGTTTACAAATGCTCTACAATAATAACAATAACTATAGTAAGAAAAATATGGCTTTTGCATACTCGTTCGTTTGGGTCCGGACCTGCTTGGTTTGTGATCATGCTTGTTCTATATGAACTAGTAGCAGGTACAGCGTGAGTGGCACTAGACGACGCACTAGCGATGTGATGGCGTACCCTTCAGGTCACGGCCCTCCACAGAAATCAGCAAACAATATGAAAGGCGAAGAAATAATCGAAGTTTTGTTGAACGTTTTAGAGATTCAAGACTCCCGGATGACTGTTGATCAGGCTAAATTCGACAGAGGGGGGAAAAGCTGTGGTTCCGTTGGCTTCTCGTTGGCCAGGGGAAGCACACCAGCATTAACAGCGGGGACAGGGTTCACTAAGAGCTCCTCTACAGAGTTCGAAGATGGTGCTGTTAGTGGGCGTAGGGGGCGAGGGGTGGCCAAGCTCAGAACTTGTGACACCAAGGAAGGAAGTGGGGACGTTGGAGAGGGAGGTAACGGCTTAGGAGTAATTATTTCCGGTTTTGGAGGAGGAGGAGGAGTCATTCCGATGATGTTGTTGTCACTTGGGTCCGGCAGTGGGCCAGGGAAGGCCTGCGATGGAGAGAATGTTTGTGGCCGTGGTTGTTGTGGCCGTGGTTGTTGTTGTGGTCGTGGTGGTTGTGGTTGCGGTTGCGGTCGGGGTGGTTGTGGTTGCGGCCGCGGTGGTTGTGGTTGTGGCCGTGATAGCTGTGGCCGCTGTAGCTGTGGTCTTGTAGGGTTAAGCAGGGAATCTGGACGCGGTGCCCCAAATCCATCAAGACTAGCTGGGACTTGCTGCGCCTGGGCCAGTGGCTGACGCTGCAGGATCTCGGGCGGTGGCCGGAGTGGAGCGACCTGAAACAAAGTCACAAATCATTTCCACTCTGACCACAGCAAGAACAAATGCTTTTTTGAAGCATGGTTTTCGGCTCTCAGAGAAAGTTAGTTAATAAGGGAGCCCAAAAAGTGATCACGTGACAATTGCATAAGAGAGAAAATTGTGAAAATCTTTAACACAAAATAAAATGCAATTATATTACGAAACATAAAAGTGGAGAATGATTATAACTACACAATGACAGATAGCAAAAATGGTAGAGGAGGGTGAGGTGATGGTGGGGATGATGAGGGCGGGAAACACTGTCAGAGAGAGACACAAGCGTGTTGCTTGAATCAATTTAGAAGCGATCATATGAGATTATTTCACAAGGTGTGTCTGGCGTGCGCTCACCCAAACGACGCTTCCCTATCAGTGATTATTCTGACGTTCGAATTCTGGAATCTGGATTTAAGGGCTGAAATCTGGCCTTAAAGTTGTGGATGATCTCGAACCCATTGTTGATGTGACGACTTACATTGAATTTTGTAACTAGCTCATCAAGATTGTAACTTGCTTAGCTAAATGAATTGTGGGGTTCAGTCCCTGAGCCCATTATATGTGCCTCTGTAACCCTTTCCACTACCGCCCACAAGATGGGTATGGGGTGCATAATAAATGAACTAAACTAACTAACTGGTGGTGGCTTCCACAACTGCTTCTTGCAGTGCATTTCACTCGTTGATCACTCTTACAGTGTTCGAATATTTCCTTACATTACGTTTCCACCTTCAACCAAGCTATGTTCTCCTGTTCTATTATAAATTTAAAGAGGTTGTTCTTGTTCATCTTTTCAATTTCCCTCAGTATCTTATATGTTGTGACCATATCTCTTCTGTTTCTTCTCTCCTTGTCTATTACAAGGAGGGAAGTCGTTGGTTTGACTGATCTCTAGCACCAGCAACAAAAGTTAAAACACTGCTGAAGGTGTCAATTGGTTTGTTAATTCTTATTATACAAACAACTAATTTCTTTAGGAAAATAAGCGATTTTTTAATAAATACTATTACGAAATATTATTAAACTATTATAACAGTTATATAGGTCTTTTAGCGTAGTAGCCAGAGTAGTTGGTTTACAATCAAAAGGTTTCAAACCACGAAGACGTTGGGGCACGTTTCCTTACACCTCATGTCTCTGTTCACCTAGCAACTTCCGTGGATTGCATCTTGGGAAAGGTTAGTCGTTGGAATTGGGAGGGGTGTCTTCGATAAGTCTAAGAGAGTTCCAATCCCATATAATGGGCACCAAGGTAAGACATTTTACGCGTCGAGCAGAACAAATAATCTTTACAAGTATACCATTTTCTTTTGTCGTTCTCTGTGATTCAGTTTTCTACGGTACCTAATTCCTATTTAGATTTTGAAGCTTTATACTTAAAATATAATTACAGTTGTGGCTGGAGTGAACAGGTGTACATACGTAAAGGAATATAGCTTACTATTAAAGCGGTGAGACTGGTATTGTCAAAATATAAAGCATAAAATGACGAATAAGACAATTTGAAGGATAACTAACATTAACTATACTAACTAACGTTTATAGAAATTTGCTCACCTTCAGTATTTTACATCAACAGATTTAAGGGGTAACCTTGATCAAAATCACTCTGAACATACAGCACATGCAACTCTGATCTAATTTCAAGATAATAATAATAATACTAAAAATAATAATAATAATAATAATAATAATAATAATAATAATAATAATAATAATAATAATAATAATAATAATAATAATAATAATAATAATAATAATAATGTTTATTCAGGTAAAAGTACATACATAGAAAATGAGTTACAAATAGAATGTTGGATGGTTATCAATTAGCCATCACTGTATTTTCTGTATTTTCAAAAGAACCACAAAACACATCGAGTCATGGATGAATACAAATCATTTTAGTATGCTATAATAATTGTTAGACATAAATTTTTTCTGAGTACATAATATGTTACAGACTAAGAATGAGAATATAATATTCGTAATTATTTGTTGGGTTATGAATCATCATCCTCGACCGATGTAAACAAACTGATTAAGAAAAGCTAAAAAAAACATATAGTTAAACATTTAAGTGGTGAGATACTGTTGTTGTTGTTGTTTTAGATTCAGCTACTCGGAACAAAAAGTTTCAAGTAGCACGGGCTATGGTGATCCCGTAGTGGATTTACCTGGCACAGGGCGTGGTGAAATACATATTTGCAAAGCGCATGACAAAAATAGAATGATATTACTTATAATCTCTCACTCACGATTACACCTACTTTTTACACAGCTGGATAAAGGGTCAAATAACTTTTGACTCCCTGTTAGCGAGCTTTGATCTCTCTCTCTTTTCCCATAGCTCATTTAAAATTTATATTTTGATTATCAGCACTTCCACCACGTAATTGTTTGTGGGGTTTAGCAGCTGAGTGCAGCTGAGTGTCTTTGATGTACAGGCTGACCCCCACCCTGTAGCCTGATGTACAGGCTGACCCCCACCCTGTAGCCTGATGTACAGGCTGACCCCACCCTGTAGCCTGATGTACAGGCTGACCCCACCCTGTAGCCTGATGTACAGGCTGACCCCACCCTGTAGCCTGATGTACAGGCTGACCCCACCCTGTAGCCTGTGTTTCCTGTCACATCTGAACAGATTGTACTCTGGTACCCATTACTGATAACCCTTTATATTTTTGTACATACTGGCTGTTTAAGGGTTATTATTGCAAGTGTACTGATGAATACTTTCATCATTTTGTATTACATTGTTCTTCCAGGTAATGTGCACTGAAACGTGATTAAAAGGAATGTCATTAACATTGCAACGCTACGGTACAGGGCAGTGCCATGGATGGATGTACAGAACTTATAAAATGTGTCTTATCCATACTTCCCCCGCCGCCTTGTGTAAAGCAGAAAATGTATATGTTTATCTCTCAGAATGTTTGGTAATATGTTTATTGTTTGTGATGTGTGTCTATGTATGTACTAACACGATGAACGGGGTGAGAATAGCTTGAGCTATCTCATCCCTTTGTGTGTATTTTACCTTAATAAACTTATTTCAATTTCAATTTCAATTTCCCTCGCCGCCTCTCATACCCCCACCGCCCCCATTCCTTCCCCTACCCTAATACCCCTTTTTCCCAGCTCCACACACACACACACACACACACACACACACACACACACACACATATATATACATAGTATACAGTAATAAGGAAAGAGAGGGAAGGTAGAGGAGGAGGCGGAGTGGCCCTACTCATGAGAAGGGAATGGAGTTTTAAGGAGATGGCCATCCCGGGCTGTGAGGAGTTCAGAGACTACATAGCAGGCACCATAACAATGGGAGGACCAAGAATAGTAGTAGCAGTAATATACAACCCTCCACCAAATGACAGGAGACCCAGTCAAGAGTATGAAAACAACAACAAGGCAGTTAACACTATAATTGAGAGGGCAGCCTCTGCTGCCTGTAGAAATAGATCCCACCTGCTCATCATGGGCGACTTCAATCACGGAAAGATTGACTGGGAGAACAAGGAACCGCATGGAGGCGAGGATACGTGGAGAGCCAAACTATTGGAGGTGGTGACAAGCAACTTTTTAACGCAGCATGTCGGAGAACCCACAAGGATGAGAGGAAATGACGAACCAGCGAGACTCGACCTAGTCTTCACTCTGAACGACTCCGACATAAGAGAAATCGGTTTTGAGGACCCAGTAGGAATGAGCGACCACAGTGTACTGGTGTTTGAGTACTTGATTGAAGAAGGGTTATTGAACTCGAGGAGGGATACCGAAACCAAAAGGTTAGCATACCGAAAGGGAAACTATGAGGGGATAAGAAAATTCCTAACAGATATAGCATGGGAAACAGAGCTCAGGGGAAAGACGGCCCAAGATATGATGGATTACATCACGCAGAAGTGCAAGGACGCAGCAAACAAGTTTGTCCCAGTCCAAAAGGAAAACAGAGAAATGAAGATGAGAAACCCATGGTTTAATCAAAGATGTAGGCTAGCTAAGCAGCAAAGTAAAAGGGCATGGAGAAACTATAGGAATAACAGGACACTGGAGAGCAGAGAAAGATACCAGAATGCCAGGAATGAATATGTCAGGATGAGAAGAGAGGCAGAAAGACAATACGAAAATGACATCGCAAGCAAGGCAAAGACTCAGCCTAAATTGTTGCATAGCCACATTAGGAGAAAAACAACAGTAAAGGAACAGGTTATGAGATTAAGGATAGGGGCGGAAGGATTCACTACAAATGACAAGGAAGTGTGTGAGGAATTGAATAAGAAATTCCAGGAGGTCTTCACCTTAGAACAAGGAGAAATTCCAGAGGTAAGTGAGGGAATAGCTAACCAAGAACCACTGGAAGAGTTTGAGATTACCAGTGGGGAAGTAAGGAAGTGTTTACTAGAGTTGGACGTGACGAAGGCTATAGGCCCAGATGGAATCTCCCCTTGGGTTCTAAAGGAAGGAGCAAGAGAACTGAGCCTACCACTCTCCATAGTGTATAACAAATCACTGGCAACAGGGGAACTGCCAGATACTTGGAAAGCAGCAAACGTAGTCCCGATATACAAGAAAGGGGATAGACAGGAGGCACTGAACTACAGGCCAGTGTCCCTAACCTGCATACCATGCAAGCTGATGGAGAAGATTGTGCGAAAAAAACTAGTGGAGCATCTGGAGCGAAGGAACTTTGTAACACAGCATCAACATGGGTTCAGGGATGGCAGGTCCTGCCTCACAGGGTTACTTGAATTCTACGACCAGGCAACAAAAATAAGGCAAGAAAGAGAAGGGTGGGCAGACTGCATATTTTTGGATTGTCAGAAAGCCTTTGATACAGTGCCACACAAGAGGCTAGTGCGAAAGTTGGAGATGCAGGCTGGAGTGAGAGGGAAGGTACTCCGGTGGATAGAGGAATACCTAAGCAACAGGAGACAACGAGTCTGTGTGAGGGGTGAGGTCTCAGATTGGCGAGACGTCACAAGTGGAGTCCCGCAGGGGTCAGTCCTTGGACCTATACTGTTTCTGGTATATGTAAATGATCTCCCAGAGGGTATAGATTCGTTCCTCTCAATGTTTGCCGACGATGCAAAAATTATGAGGAGGATTGAAACAGAGGATGATAGTAGGAGGCTACAAGATGACCTGGATAGACTGAGTGAATGGTCCAACAAATGGCTGTTGAAGTTCAACCCGAGTAAATGCAAAGTAATGAAACTAGGCAGTGGAAACAGGAGGCCAGGCACAGGATACAGAATAGGAGATGAAGTACTTAATGAAACAGACAGAGAGAAAGATCTAGGAGTTGATATCACACCAAACCTGTCTCCTGAAGCCCACATAAAGAGAATAACGTCTGCGGCATATGCGAGGCTGGCTAACATCAGAACGGCGTTCAGGAACCTGTGTAAGGAATCATTCAGAATCTTGTACACCACATATGTAAGACCAATCCTGGAGTATGCGGCCCCAGCATGGAGCCCGTACCTTGTCAAGCACAAGACGAAGCTGGAAAAAGTCCAAAGGTATGCTACTAGACTAGTCCCAGAACTAAGAGGCATGAGTTATGAGGAAAGGCTGCGGGAAATGCACCTCACGACACTGGAAGACAGAAGAGTAAGGGGGGACATGATCACAACCTACAAAATCCTCAGGGGAATCGACCGGGTAAACAAGGACGAACTTTTCAACACTGGTGGGACGCGAACAAGGGGACACAGGTGGAAGCTGAGTACCCAAATGAGCCACAGAGACGTTAGAAAGAACTTTTTCAGTGTCAGAGTAGTTAGCAAATGGAATGCATTAGGAAGTGATGTGGTGGAGGCTGACTCCATTCACAGTTTCAAATGTAGATATGATAGAGCCCAATAGGCTCAGGAATCTGTACACCAGTTGATTGACGGTTGAGAGGCGGGACCAAAGAGCCAGAGCTCAACCCCCGCAAGCACAATTAGGTGAGTACAATTAGGTGAGTACACACACACATACTCACGGGCCTGGCGGCAGGAGGCGGTACTAAGATATCGTTATTCAGCAGCGGTGCAGCCTGCGGCCTGAACACCTGTCGTGGTGGTGACGGCAGCGATGGACGCTGGCTCTGTTGGGGCGAGAGTAGAGAAGCAGGGAGAGGAAGGGTACGTGATGTTAGTATACTGCTATGCAGAGTGAGGGAAACAACCTCGAGGAAGGGGAAGGAGAGGGGAATGATAATATAATTGGGGAGGAAAGAAGTTAGATATATCGAAGAAGGTAACAGGAGCCCCTCTCCCCCCTAAACACACTTTGCTTATAGGGTAATAGAATTTCTTGGATTGCTACGTCTGTATGAGGCTGAGAGGGATTAAATGGCAGCGTATAAATAGCATCGTATACTACAGCACAGAAGTTCCACTGTTGCAAATGGATAGCTAAAACTGGAACTCAACTCAGAATGTATCAGGTTCATAATTTGCACCAAGAGAAACAACAACGGCACTTTCCTGCACCGTGGGAGGTTACACCCTTTCCAGTTTTAATCCCTCTCTTTCCACCCAAGAAGCAAATTCGAGATCAGCCTAAGCTTCGTCTTGAGGAAGACGCCTTAAGCCATATTGATGCTCTGTCCACAGAGCATTCTCTCTCTCAAATCATATACACTGATGGTTCCCTACACCGCACCACGGGTGCAGCTGGAAGTGCAGTTGTCCTGACAATGGGCGATGGCCTATACTTTGAGTGGGGAGTCCGTATAAACAACTGGGCCTCTACCCTTCAGACTGAACTATTTGCCTTGATCCTTGCACTGAAATGTGTACAAGTCTCAAAACTTGATACATTAATTGTAAGTGACTCCTTATCATCCTTAAATGCTCTCAACTCTTTAAGACATAAATGTAACATGCTCGTGTCCGAAGCTAGACACAAATACAACAAAATTATAAAGGATGGTAACAGAGTCCATTTCATGTGGTCTCCATCTCATGTTGGCCTCCGAATGCATGATAGAGCTGATAAGTTAGCCAAAGAATCTGCCTTTAAAGGAGCCGTTGAGTGTAACCTTGGATTGGCAATGAGCAATCTGAGAGCAGCAGTACACCGAGAACTTCAACAAGATCTTGTAGATTTGAGGCAAAGTGAAATTGACACCAGTAATTCCATCTATCATCATACTATCATGCAAGAGGAGCCACACATCTATGGTTCATCCAATAAAATCAGCAGACTTCTAGATGTTACTACTGCTCGGGTTGTAACTGTGTCAACAAAATTATTCGCACACCCTCCGTCACTATGTGATGGAGTGCGAAAAGATACGTGAATTTAGAGACAATTCTATAACCAATGTTCCAACGATGTGTAAATATTTAATTCAAAAAGATCTGCTATCACAAATAGATTGTAACCTATCCACCGCTGCCCACTGGATGGGGGGCGGTGTGCAGGACAAACATATCAATTGTGACATTAGCTCTCCACATATGTCAGTTGCTTAATTTAGAAACTGTACTTGTGGTCGATCTCGAACCCATTGTTGACGAGACGACTTATACTGAATTTTGTAACTAGCTCATCAAGATTGTAACTTGCTTAGCTAAATGAATTATGGGGTTCAGTCCCTGAGCCATTTATGTGCCTCTGTAACCCTTTCCACTACCGCTCACAAGATGGGTATGGGGTGCATAATAAATGAACTAAACTAAAAGGTTAGGGGAAACGTTCTGAACATAGATGAAGATAGGAACCACAGAAAAAGCTAACTACAAATAACTACAAGTACCCTTGGTACCTTTGCTGCCTCTGAGGTACACAGACGATCTCCGTACCTGTATAAATGACATATTGAGACGGCACTAACACGGGAGACATCTCCCGTCACGCAGGGTGCAGTCGCACCTCCACAGATCTCCAGTATCAGCTCTTGATACTGGTAATGGCTCAAAAGGGCCACCACTTACGGGCTATTCATGCCCGTGCCACCTTTTGGGTGGCTTAATCTTCATCAATCAATCAATCGACGGCACTAAGACGAGCTACGGCTCCCTTGTGAGGTCCCAGGGAGTTCCACCACAATCTTATTCAAGTTCAAGTATGTTTATTGAGACAAGAAAGAAATACATCTCAAAGGGATAGAGTAGCTTAGGCTATTTCTACCCCCCCTACAATCTTATTATTACGTTCGTTTGGGTGATGAAACGACAAATTAGTGTCGTAGTAGTCATAGTTTGAAGCTTGAAAAAAGTATATATTTTGAAGCTTGAGAAAATTATATATTCTATTCAGAGTTAAAAATGATATATTTTTAACTTTGAGAAATGTATATATTTTGAAGCTTGAAAAAGTATATATTTTGAGGCTTGAGAAAATTATATATTCCATTTAAAGTTAAAAATTATATATTTTTAACTTTGAGAAATGTATATATATTTGAAGCTTGGGAAAAGTATATATTTTAGTTTGAGGAAAGTATACATTTAGAAGTTTGAGAAAAGAAAGTGACATTTGACATCCAGTCAGCAGAGTAGATATTAGTAAAGCCAAACGTGGAGCGGAAATGGGAGTAATATTCAGCGAAGCCTACTAACCAACACCTTGTTAGCTTAACTTCAACGATAATTAGCCACGTGACTGGTAAGAAAAATGCTAATAAGTTTTAGTAGGCATGTTTTTTAAAAGTAAAATTAACGGATTTTATACATAGGCCTAGGCTAGATAATTTGGTTAGGCTGTTTTTGATACATTTGCACAACCAGCTGGAGGTGGGAGATGATGTCTCCAGGCAAATTATTTAATAATAATTTATTGTGTCGTGGGGGACAGGCAGCCAGTGTATATATACGCCCCCCCTCCTCAATTACTGACCCTCCCCAGGATGCAACTACACAAGCTGACTAACTCCTGGGTACCTTTTTCACTGCTAGGTTAAGCAGGTGGTTCTAGGTGTTCACTGCATTAAGTGATCGGTAACGCGCTCAACCATTTCTCGCCCGCCCGGGATTCGAACCCTGGAATTCCTGAATCAGTCCACTTGACCGATGTTCGAAGCTATGATTCGAAACGTGCTTCGTTCACTCGCAGCCAGTGTTGTCAACACCCCAAATCAACCAAACCAAAGCACCTTACCTACGCCTAAGTGTGTATAAACCCACATTATATTAATTTATATCTGAGAATACAAAAAGTTTGTTATTAATACCGTATAGTTCATTACATCACTTGATTGCATGTTGTGTCATACCGACTTACTAAATATACGACAGTCAATATTTATGGTGTAACTTGGGGTGAAGGATGGGCTGAGGCTACCCACCTGCTGGGGGAGGATCGGGGCTCCTGGCGGGCGGAACTGCGGGCGTGGGCGCAAGCGTGGGCGTGACCTAGGGCGCGTGAAGAGAGGCCTGAAGGCCCCAAAGAAGATCTCAGGAGGCGAGGGCAGGTCTGGGAACCTGAACTGGGCGTTTGTGTTGCTGACGACCACCGTCAGCACCAACACTGCCACCCACACCTGCAAGCGTCAACACCAGTCGTAACACACCCAAAATAATCATTTTGATTTACCTGAATTTACCTGAATTTACCCGAGAGCCACCATCTCTAGTAGCCTCGTTATTCGTGAGAATTGTATTCAGTTGTTACAGAAGACTACTGTATTAGCGAGAACATATGTTAATAAACAAGATAAACTCATAAAAGCAAAATATCACACTCACGCGAATATTAATTAATAAAAACTGTATACACACATAATTTACTAGGTGAAGTAATTATCGCTATGCCATTGCAACTAGATAGAAATGGGAAGGGATGAGAATAAGGATTTGGAATGGGACGGGAGAAGGAATGGTGCCCAACCACTTGGACGGTCGGGGATTGAACGCCGACCTGCATGAAGCGAGACCGTCGTCCATCCCAAGAGGTTGGTGATTGATTGATAAAGATTAAGTCACCCAAGAGGTGGCACGGGCATGAATAGCCCGTAAGTGGTGACCCTTTTGAGCCATTACCAGTATCAAGAGCTGATACTGGAGATCTGTGGAGGCGCGACTGCACCCTGCGTGACGGGAGATGTCTTCCGTGAAGAGGTTGGGAGAGATAATTCACAAGTGGGGCGGGTGGCACTGCGTGAGTGCCAGGTAAAATAGGTGCCATGCTATGTGTCAAGGGTTGGGTGCCCAGAACTAGGTGTCAGAAGCTAGGAACCCGCGCTAGGATTCGTCTTTAGATGCGCTAGGAGCTTCCTTTAGTACCCGGAGACAAATGCCCTGCCACCAATGTTGTTCTCCCTGCCAGACTCGGAGCCAAGAGTGGCAGCCAAGAAGAGGGTGAACGTCTCACCTCTATGCAGACGAGGAGTCACAATAACGTGGCTGAAATATGCTGACCAAACCACACACTAGAAAGTGAAGAGACGACGACGTTTGAGAATGTCGTCGACTTGACAATCGACTTGAGAATGGTCCAGGACGGACCGAAACGTCGTCTCACCTCTACTGCTGGCCAGGTTACCGCCAGCGGGGCAAGTGAAGGAAGGGGGGAGAGACGTGGGGAAGGGGAGTGGGAAAGGAGTACGGCTGGGAAGGTGATGGGAAGGGAAGGGATGGAGAGAGAGAGGGAGGATGGGAAGAGGAAAGTATGATTCAAAGTTTAAAACTTGCAACTGGTACCGCTGAGAGGTCTATTAAGATGTTTTATGTTTGATTCAAAGTTTAATAAGTTGGTTGAAAAGAGAAAGAAAGAGAGAGAGAGAGAGAGAGAGAGAGAGAGAGAGAGAGAGAGAGAGAGAGAGAGAGAGAGAGAGAGAGAGAGAGAGAGAGAGAGAGAGAGAGAGAGAGAGAGAGAGGAGTGGGGAGGAGTTAGTTCAGGGTCTACCTATCAACAAAAGGTGCTACAAGTGAGCTCACAAGAAGGCCGGCTTCCCCTCCTCTCTCTCTCTCCCTCCCTTCTTCTTCCCCCTACCTTCCCCCATCTCTCCATGCAAGAGAGTCACAATAACAAGGTAAGACAAGGTAAGAACAAATCAAGGTAAGAACAAGTCCGTTCTGAAGGAAGAACGTGCAGGTTCACAGCAGGCGGCTGCGGTGACGAGCAGGACAGTGACACCATAATCACTACCACCACCAGGAGCACCACAGGGGGGCCCCCCTCTCCGCCTCACCATCACCTCACACTTACAGTGACACCATAATCACCGCCACCACCTGGAGCACCACAGGGGGGCCCCCCCTCTCCGCCTCACCATCACCTCACACTTACAGTGACACCATAATCACCGCCACCACCAGGAGCACCACAGGTGGTCATCCCCTCCCCTCGCCTCACAATCACGTACTTCACACTGGCATTGATAGTGACAAAACGTTACCCTAACAGCCATGAACCACAGGTCAACCTTCCCACGCGACAGGTAATTACTCAACTTAAAGCTACACTCTCTCACCCATCTTACATCCACCTGCCGTCCTGATATCTACTAAGAAATGTGTATAAAACAGTTGGATTCGTTCTCGACTCACAATCGGGAATCTCGGGTTCGAATCCCAGGCGGGTTGGAAATGGTCGGGCACGTTTTCTATTACCTAATGCCCATTCATCTAATAATGGGGGATGGGGGGATCATCCAGGCTGTGATTCGTACGTCAGGCTGCGAGCAGCCGCGTCCAACAGTCTGGTTGACTAGTTCAACAACCAGGAGGCCTGGTCGACGACCGGGCCGCGGGGTCGCTAAGCCCCGGAAACACCTCAAGGTAAGGTAACCTCAAGGTAGGTGTAGGTGCTTACCCATACATGACTACGGGGACGTGAGGTCTGCCTCGTTATGTCTGGCCTCCCACCCTTGTTATATACGTTACGTTATAATTAAACTATTCTGATCTATCTTGAGGTTATCTTGAGATGATTTCGAGGCTTTTAGAGTCCCCGCGGCCCGGTCCTCGACCAGGCCTCCACCCCCAGGAAGCAGCCCGTGACAGCTGACTAACACCCAGGTACCTATTTTACTGCTAGGTTGTAACACTGTAAGGTGTTTGGTTTAGTTGTATTTATTAGGAATAATAATAATTATTAATCTTACCCTTTCGATCATATTCAACAACATATGTTTACAAGAAAGACTGCTACCAAAATATACTAACATACATATGTGTGTAAATCACGAAAATTAACACGTGATGAAAAATGTGACAGTGTCAGACCACGGAGGAAGAATTGAAACAGGAATTTCTTGAAGTACTTTCGTATATTAATACATCTTCAAAACTTCAGAAGGAATAGAAATGATTCCTATTCATATTCCTACACAACCAGGAGGTGGTGGTGCTGGTGGTGGTGGTGGTGGTGGTGGTGGTGCTGGTGGTGGTGGTGGTGGTGGTGGTGGTGCTGGAGGTGGTGGTGGTGGTGGAGGTGGTGCTGGTGGTGGTGGTGGAGGTGGTAGTGTGGGAGATAGTTCTACTGTTGGTGCTGATGCTGCTGCTATATTACGTTCTCGTTAATTACCACTCAACTGACAGCAACCGCAACGTTTTCACCTTGTTAATAAGGGAGACAGGTGTTGTGGTAGTGGTATGGTGGTGTGACGGTTACCTAACAGTGTTTACCTAACAGTCAATACAGGAAGGTAAAGTCCACTCATTTATGCCCGGCTTACAAGCCTTATTGTACCTGATGCGTCATTAATTATCCGGACGCTCGAATTCTTCGTCAAATCTTGCCTTAACAAGAAATGCAATTAAGCAGGAGACAAATTTGCTCTTCGTCTAAATAGAGGAGAGTGAAATGATAAAAACTAATCCCTGCTTTAAATGTGTAAAGAAACAAAGCGAACAAACATGACTGCATGGAAAAAAAAATAAATTAGATAGGAGATTCCAGAAGGCCAGACATTAGTACATTAGAATGAGAAATGAAACGGAAAGATCATTTGTAATCGACGTTGGAGATGAGCAAAGATTCAGCCCAAGATGCTTCACGCCAGAATCAGGAGGAAAACAACACTTAAGAAACAAATGAGACTGAAGACCGCTGCTGATGCATTCACTGAGAAAACATAGAAGTGTGTGAGAAATTCTCCAGGATATCACAGATTTTCTAAACATAGAAAGGGAAAGTTCTTGAACGAAGGGAGACGGAATCAAACCAAGCAGCCCAGAAGGACACTGAGGGATGAAGTAAGAAAGCACATACTGGACACAACTAAGACTTGACCAGACACGATATTGAACAAGTGAGACACAAATGAACCACAAAGCACTAAACAATGTTTTCTTGAGAGTCAGAATTGTTAACAAATAGAATGTGATAATAAGAAGCAAAATGGTGGAGGCCAACTCCATACACATCTTCAAGTGTAGCTATGATACAACACAGAAGGTTCTGAAGCATACGCGCCAGACAATTATAAGTTAAGAGGCAGGTCTTAAGAGCGGTAGCTCATCCCTCGCTAGGTGAGCACCACTAGGTGAGCACCTCCAGCAGACGAACAAATCCACAAGGGCCGTGACAAGGATTCGAACCTGCGTCAGGGAAATCCACAAGGTCTGAGAATCCTGAGAATCCTGAGAGGTCTGCTCCAGCAGACCTCTCACCCGCGTCCGCATCTGGTCACTTTCTGCATCTTAATTTTCTCCGTTATCACTCTCATCTCCCTCTTACCCCTCACCCACCCTACATAACACCGCCCCATCCAGCATCCTCCAGCCTCCCTACCAAGCCTCTCCCTTAAACATATTTTGCCTCGCCCTACCCAGCCTACCCACACTACCTTCCCTTTCCCACCCCCCCAGTCTACCCCTCACCATCCCCGCTCAACCCCCCTACGTCGTGGCTCACACAACTGCTGCACCCACACACCTGCAGAGCCTATACAAACCTGCTGACCTTCCACACACACGTCCATACCTCACAACTTTATTACGTAATGCTGGGTAGCTTTGGGTAGATTTGGGTAATTAGAGGGGACTGCTGGTCCAACACACACCTGTTGTTCCCCCATCACACACCTGTTAACCTCAATACATATCTGCTGGTCCCAGTCCACACCTGCCTATCCCAATACAAGTGTTGACCCAAATAACACCTGCTAACCTCAGTAAAACCGTTGACGTGCACATGTACACCTGTCAACCCCCAGCACACATGTTGATCCAATTAAACACCTGCTGACCCCACCAAACTGCTGACCCCAACAATGACCCCAAAGCGAATCTGGGCGTTTTACTTTTACTCCTTGGACGAAGGTCCGTGTCCAAGCTGGTTCATACTGCCCCCAGCACCAACAACCTGATGAATCATTGGTGGTGGTGGTGGTGGTAGTGGGTGTGGTAGCGGTGGTAGTTATTGAAACACCAAAACTCACTTTAAGCAAGTAAGTGAATGTAAGTGAAATTAAGTGTTGAATGAATATCAAGATGTTATATGTTAACTCATCTTCCGTTTTCTTTGTGACTATCATTAAAGTAAACACAACCTACAGCATGTTAATGGCTTACTATTTTATTTTAAGTAAAGGGA